AACGATGGAAACTTACCAACATGGCAAAATCTATACTTACCTTAAAAAATTAAGCACAATATTATCCTCGTGCTTAAAACTTCTCCTCCACACTGCTGCTTTGTAGCAGTGATTTCTAAATATTGTTAGGAGCATGAGTTGTCCTCATTCATAAATCAAGCTTCTCTCAAACTTAGCATTCAATGTAAACCAAGTTTATAGACATGCTTTGTCTAGCTATAAAATGTTGTACCCAAAGAAAAATGGATCTGTTTAATGGCTAATACAGACTTGACATTTGTTTTCAGTAATTGCTTTCTTATTTGCTTAACAGCTGTTTATGAGCAGACTTCAAAACTGTTCATTGGTACATGTCTGAATTATTACCTAGAAATCATTAGCTAATATTTCTCGCATATAAAAATATTAGATGACAATGTTGGGGTACATATTATATTTATATCATCTATTAATGTATTATTGAAATAAATATGTTTTGTCATATAATAAATTTAAAATTCCCTTGCTTTTATACACCGCAGCTGACTTGGATTATTATTCTTTTTCAGGCAAAAAACATTCATTTTATTAGCTAGTATATTTTCCAAATGATATTTTAAATGACATCCCTGACTTAGCTACCTATAATAATCCCTTTGAGATTGCACTATGTACATTAAAATAAAGCCTTTACTGATGAAACAGGTTATGTACCAAGGCACTGGAGAGGTTAGCACATAATTAAGCATTCTAGTGTTAAAATGTGTTCTATGAAGAAACTAGGATTTCATAAATCTCATGCAGTTAAACCTAAATTACATGAGAAATAAGGATTTATCTGATTTGCTCGCATCTGAAAGTTCTCATTCAAGTAGTTCATATTGTAACAAGTGACAGACTAATGTTCACATGATAAAGAAAGCATTAGTACTAATTGCTAAATTAATGAAAAGTCAGAACATTTTTATAAAAGGTGACAACTCCACTAGGCATGTTATGTGCTAATTTAAGCCAATTGTTTTTATCAATAGTAGCAAAAGAATCATAACAATGGCATAGTTATTCGTTTTAATCACAGTTAGAATTTACATTGTAAGTTTAAAGTATCTTAAATGCATGTTTATGAACTCATTTTATAATATAACTTTAATGAATTAAGTATATTTTCAAATGTAATTCGTGGTAGGAGTTTGGTCATACATGTTGTGTGAGGTGCCTTGGGTCGGTGCTCATGGCAACCTGTCTGTGCACAGTGGAAGGAAGCACTATGTGGTTCTAAGTCATCCTTTGCTCTGTTTGAGCACATAGATGCAGTCATTGTGTTAGCCAGCTCATCTATGGTTTATCTCTTTGTTTTTAGGACCCTCTGCTTTACCAAGCACGATATTCTTTTTCAGGGACTGGCGCTCTTTATAACACAGTCATATAACATAGACAAAATAAGTGACACAACCTCTCCTTGCTTCATAAGGGGATTCTAACTGAACTTCATTCAAGACAGATCAGTTCATTCACTTGATAGACCCTGTTACATACAATATTCTTCACCAACATTGTAGTTCAATGGGAATCAAATTTTCTTCAGTCTTTCTTATTCTTTGTTCAGTTTTCACAGGCATATGAGGTGCGAAAAATAACATAACGGGTCAAGAGCACCTCAGTCCTTAACTGGCCAATTTGCGGTTTAAAAGTTTAATTTTGGCAAATTGGCTCCCCGCAATACATTGTTTGATAGATTGATTGTTGTTTTCATTGATGTTAATTGTGAATCCAAGTAAAATAAAGTCATTGATAAATTCAAACGTTTTGTTTACCAGGATGCACTCCATTGTTTCCAATGTAAGGATTTGTGTTTTATTCTAAGGTGTAAATAGCACTGAGAGTTTTAGTCTTTGGGCTTCATCATTAAACACTTTAACTCGCTTTCACCAGGATATAACATATATCACATATATATTTATACATATGTTTAGGTATATGTGTGAATACTCACACACAAGAAGGTAAGTGAAAAGTATTGGTACAAAATCATACAGACCATTATTTAAAAAACATATATCAAATTGTGAAGCTATAGTTTCTTGATGTCTGCTCTATCCAGGCCTGCATGCTTCTGAAGGTGGTAGTCCCATCTCTCTAACGCTTCGCCAAAGAATTGTCTCTTCTTGCATTTACAACATGCCAAATGACAATTTGGGTACCCTCAGGAGACTCAGGTCATATTCCTTTTCAATGCTGTTTGTTTGTTTTGGTAACAAATGAAAGTCTGAAGGGGCATGATCGGGGTTGTATAGTAGAATGTGTACGTTTCCCAATGAAATTCCTGTTACCCTCAAAGAATTATCAGATGCGTTGGAGGGAAGGGAGAATTGATCACAGGGAGCTACATATAACCTCCTCTCTGGGGGACGGGCAGTAGAGGGGTGGGTGAAGGGAGAGGCCGGGCAGTGTAATATAAGTTACAATAATAATTTATAAATTATCAAGGGTAGATGGGGGAGAGGGGAGGAGGGAGGGAGGGGGAGGGGAAAAAAGGAAAATGAGCTGATTCCGGGAACCCAAAAGGAAAGTGAATTTTGGGAATAATGAGGGCAACAAGTATATAGATGTGCTTTACACAATTGATCTATGTATTGTGATGAATTGTATGAGCCTCAATAAATTGATTTTAAAAAAAAGAAGGAAGTAAATGTTCTAAAATTGATTGTGATGATGATTGCGTAACTCTTCTTAATATAGCTGAACTCTTGAATGGCATGATATGTAAATTATATGCCAATAAAACTGTTTTGAAATCCTAAAAAAAAAACAACCCTTGGTGAGCTGTCTTGACCTTTTACTCATAGATTCAGGTTTCATTTTCTTAAAATTTAATAAGAAACCCATGTGATCACCCAGCAATCTTTAAGGAAATCTACCAAGAGTATCCAGGACCCCCAACATAAAATTGTTCCCATAGCCTTCTGAGCTGACCTCTCTGCTTTAAGTGTAACTGACCAGGCAAATTCTCTCAGAACCTACAGTTACTTGAGCTTGAATATGAAGGCACCCTGTGGAGGCGAAGACAAGTAGATTACTGAGAACACTTGTCTGTCGCTGTCCATTGAATACAGAAACATATTTAAACACAGTTTGTTTGAAATAAGCCCATGGATTGTGAACTGAAGCCTAACAGCAATGCTTTTTTACTTACCTTTGTGTGTGTGTGTGTATGTGTGTACTCACATTTATCTCATAGTGAAGAATTCTATTATCATACACATGAAAACAGGGGAGTATACTTTATTATATAAAAGGTCATTTAATGAAATTGTCTTATATATTTTAAAATGAAAATTTTACAAAATTTGACATAATATTTTAACTATTCTATTGCTCTAATATTCAATTTTGATGTACTTCATTTTGTTTGGCTTGTGGACCAAATCTCCTTGTAGACCACATTATTGCACTATGGATTTATTGATATTACCTCAATATGAGGCTTACTAAGCTACAAATTCAATTAGTAGCAAAGATTCATGAAGGAACCAGTAAGAACTGCTCAGAATCCTTATGGAGACCCGTCTTTCTATTCTCCTTCCTTAAGTTCATGACTAGCGGGAGGAAAGCTGATTTTGGGTGGGTTTCTGGTGATGGCATGAGCGCTAGCCCCTCTCAACACCTATTGTTCATGTTATTAGGGACTGAAAGATGCCTTGTAGAACACAACAGAATGCTGACCTATCTTGCACTTTCCTAGCAATTGTTGCTTTATATAAACCCATGGTTGAACTCCCGAATTAATCCTTTTCGCTGAGGGCTCTCCACTTTTGCACTAACCCTGTACTTGAAAAGTCACTCTCCACAGGGACTGACCTCTCCTGATGGTGTGCCCCAAGGACGCGAGGGGAAGGCTCGCATTGCTTAAAGGGAGTTCTCTGTGGATTTCTTCCAAGACAGGTTTATTCCTTCTACTAGCAGTTGATTTATAGCAAGACATAATGAGCGGTGATTTCCTAGAGCTTTCCTAAGTATGCAAACGGATTTCATTTGCGGTCAAAATGAATGACATTAAAAATTCTGTATTTCTCAATTTGCCAGAGTTCTTTTAATAAAGTTTTCTAGATTCAACTGAAATCTTGTCTATGAACAATTATGAATCTTCCCATTTGCGTTTCCATTTAATATTTTTGTAATAAATCAGATATAAAATAAATAAGTTTGTGGGAAAATTTAATACAAACGTTATTTTAAAAAATTTAAATGTGTTCGTGTCCTTTTAATAAATAACTTCTTTTCTCCTTTTGTGATATTTTCCTCTTAAAAGGGAAGAAAAGAAGGAGGGAGGGAGGGAGAGAAGGGAAAAATGGGGAGGGAAGGCAGGCAGGGGAAGGAAGGAAGTAAATTTAATCACTTTACTGGATATTTAGTCATATTAAAAGAAATATTTAATGTTTGGTTAGCTGGGAACACATCTTTAAAAATACTAGTTTTTTTAATCTATAGGTAGCATGTACTTTTCACAGCAGATATCCTTAAAGCTATTACAGACAAAGGATTTTTTTCCGACGTTATAAAATTAGAATGTAGCACCTGAAAGGTGCATAATATGTGCATATCTCCAATGCCCTCAGATTTCTATTATCTCCACAGTTACAGTTCTAAGATAACAAAAATGAGTACATAGTTTCGCATAGTTTAAGCACTTTTATGACAATAATTTATAAGATTTAAAAATTGTATTTTCAGATCTCACCCTATTTCTTGTTCAAAATATATTTAGGGACATTGAAGTTTATAATTAAAATGGTAAGAAAGACAGGATAGTAAAAATATTTGTTTCTTTTATCATGGTACTTGATACTATTTCCTTCTTGAGGGTCACTGACATTCTTGTGAACTTTTAAATCGCTAATAAATCCTATTAGGTGAAATATGTATTTCATTGATATTAAAGAAGAAATTAAGAGGCCATGAATGTCTCTATCATTAATAATTGAACTACTAACATTTTTTCATATTTTGTTAACAGTGGCTGATTAAAATCAACAACTAGTGTCAGTGATCAAGAGCAAAATAGCACATTTCTCCCCCCTATCTTAGGCCAATGCAATGATCTTTTTACAATGTGTCTAACTGTTTTATAATTTTAAAGAATATGGAATGTCAGTATCAGTTTATGGAATGAGAATACAGGAACAATTTGTATCAGGACATTAAAATGATTTTATCTTTGAGAGTTTTTGTATGTTAATATTCTTGTCACAGGTTTGTTCTTTTTCCTCCTTTATGCCACTTATAATACAATGATAATGCACTCATTCTTAATGTGGCCTATTGTATTTGGCATACAAAATAATCTAAAAACCCAGAAATAACCATTTGATTGATATTCATATAGGTAGGTTACACTTTTAATATTATTTACATACATACTTGAATCATCCTCTTCCTTGTTATCACTTTTGATTAAAGCAGTATACTGATACAACTCGATAAAATGTGAAAAAAGATGTTCTATTATCTAGGATTATTCACAGATACCTTCCAGAATATAGATGTTTTTGAGGTATAACCTTTTATGCTGCTGAAGCTTCAATTTTGCTTCACTGTTGATGTCCTGTTTTCTGGTTTCTCCAGGTGGAGAATGATTAATACAATGACTATTCTTATACAGTCATCCAAAGGGACAAGGATGCGCTCAATATGTCAAGTTGGATACTTCCCTTTGCTTGTTGTAGCAGAGCTGGCAGCAGCAGCAGAAGCAGTGGCATGGCTGCCTAAAAACAGAGGGTCCAAACAAGCTACCTTGGCAGCAAAGAATGAATGGATGCAGTGAAGAACAGCAAACAAATTTGAAAATTCCAACTCCTGAAAGGGAAAAAGAAAGAGAATTTATTCAAAAATTAATTCTATTTCTTGAAACAATAGATAACAAATAGATATTATTTCAAGTGCAACAAACTCATCTAAAATCGCATCCATCTAATGTACAGAACCTATAGAAATATGTGCTCAATAAAGACATTTTATACGCATTGAAGATTTATTTCCAAGCATGGTGGGTTAAGTGATAGAAGAATTATTTTTTATGTCCATAAAAGTTGTTTCAGTTTTTGGGTAGGAACTGACTTGCTTTGAGTATTAATTTATGTACTTGTACTCCTTAACTGGGTTGATGAATAAAAATAGACCTCATGATCTGTACTAAACTAGACTACTTGCACAGAATCTTAGTTACTTCTTGAAGTAATAGGATCACGTTCAATAAAATCTTGCTTTATTCTTTGAGAATGCTATATATTAATATAGTGATGAGGGTGATGGCTTCAATGTAAAAGCTTACATGAGCATTAATAGAACTAAATGTAAACAGACCATCTTAGTGCCATTTTTTAATATCGATAAAACAAAAACAATTTCATTTTACATATTTTCACAAAGAATTTATTCAAATTGAAATGAGTTTTTCTCCATTTAAAAAATATTTACATAACTATTATAATTCTGGTATTCATTATTTAATAATGCCCATGAAAGCTTTGTAAATGAAGCCATATTCCTAGGTAGACCATGATTCTAATGACCTCCTACGCTTTGTGAATATTAGGCTTTTTTCTTAGGAGACTTGAAAATCCAAGCAGGGATCCTTCTGCATTTCAAGCCAGCCTCTTTTCAAATGCAAACTTCCACACCTGATGAAGTCTCTCGGGACCCTTGAAGACACTTTTACTGTACATCCCAAATAGGTTACTCATTGTGTTATCTAGTCTATCCTTACGTTCAATTCAGAGTGATTATACCACTATTGACCCTTTGAAGTAGATGTCTGATCTACAATTTATAATGGGGAAAAACCTACAAAGTGTCATGGGTTTAGAGAAATAAGCTAACAAGTGACATTAATAGACGTGACTCTTCACCTTCTAAAACTTTAATATGTTCATGGCCTCATACATGTGAAAATAACCTCCTACGGAAACATAGTCACCGAACTGCAGAGGGAAGGATGGAGAGGTGACGCACAGAAGCCGACTGACAAACTGAATGTCAAGATGCTTCCAAAAATCAAAACCAAGTTTTCTTTTTCTTCTATTATTGAATAGAAAAAAGGAACTACCTGACTTTTGCTTTCAAAACATATTGCTTTGGGACCGATGTGTTCTGTGTTCCAGCCTTGGTGAAACGGGGGAATGACTCATACACTTCAGTGGACACAGGATCGTCATGCTTTTAGACCACTGCTAACACTACTAACATGGACATATGTTGATTTCTTGGCCATGTCACATCACGTTCAGCATAAGAAATATATATAAACAAAAAAATAAGTAATATTATAAATAGTATAAAATATTTAAACTAGAATATTTAATTACAAACCATTTTGAGAATAATTTAGTATGCTTTATGTATTCGTATCTATGTGAACAGCCACATAACCACTTTTTAAAATCTCCAATAGCCATAAAAGAAATCTCTAGTAAATTATACCAAAACAACAATATTACCCATGGCTTCATTTGAAAACAATTTCCCTCTTCTGCTAGAAATGCTCTAAGAAGTTTAATGAGGCTTTAGAAGACAGATGTGGAAATTATTAAGCTCTCTGATTAATGAAGTGAGAATTTCTGCGTTTCTCCTTTCTGAAAGAAAATCTAACAGGCAAAAAAAAAAAAAGAAAATCTAACAGGCTTTTGTATTATATTATTCTTATATTGTATTTTATGAATATATAAATTTCACACAAACCTCAAGTGTCCTTCAATATATTTAGTATTTCTACACAGCTTTCCAAGAGCGAACTGTTATTCAGAATTTGAAATATTGTCATATGTATGGCAAGCCATGCCACCATGTACCTGAAAAGAAACCACTAGCAATTCCAACGGCCCTGGGACTGGTGGTGGACTGCTCCCGGTTTGGTCTGCTCTGTAAACTCACGATGCCCTCTTGCACTAAATGGCAATGGAGGGCCATAGGTGAGCTCCTCTTGCTTCCCTATTGTCACAAGGCAAGGGTGAGAAAAGCCTCCCTGGTCCAGCCTTCTTTACCTGTCCTTGCCACTCGGCATCTATGCTGGGCTAGATAAACCGTTGCAATGACCGCATAGAACTCACAGACAATATGCCTCATTAAGGGGGTCTTGTAGGTGTGTGACTAGATTACAGCAAACAGATAGAGTACATAGTCCTTAGTCCCTGCAGCCAGCAGACGAGTCTCTCTCTAGTCGAGTTCTCAGGCTTTCTGTCACGTGGTAGCCAAGTATCTTTCCAGTTCTAAGCCATTGATCCCTTGGCCTTTGCTTCTGTGGGTCAGGAAGCCAGCCTGCCTGCCACTCAGTTCCCTAATTCTGTAGTCTCTGGGCAGATAAGATGTTAGTTCATTTTATCAGCACTGCTCCTCTGGGGCTCTGTGCCACAGCGTGTGCCGCAGTTGGTCTCGGTAGCTGCTGCCACTTCAGAGGGAGACCTTAAATAGATTCTTCTGAGAGTCATAATGGGACATTTCACTCCACCACAACTCCATGGGAGGAGAGCGGGGCTGCTTGGTCCTATAAAGATTTAAATCATTGAAAACCTTATATAAAGTCACTGAGTCGGAATCCACTTGATAGCAGTTAGTTTCTTGGGTTTTAAATAAACCAGTATTTCTTGTAACAAAAGCTGTTAGGCTTGTAAGTGGATCGATTTATTATTTATTTGAAATTTCTTCTCATTGTATGCAATAAGATTTAAGCATACTCCATTTTGATCACTTTTTAAATTGTTTTCAAAATAAATCTTTTCTAACCATTGTGTAGCAGTGGTCTCAACATACTTATCCTTTTGTGATGGATTCATCTCAGTTCATCCATCTTTTGAGGTGTTTTACAGATTCATTGCTTTTTTTTTAAATGCTATATTTTGCTTAGCAAAATATATATATATATAATCATGCTCTTTATCTTTTCTTCTGTTCATAGCCATTTGGGTTGTCTCCTTTTTGCTCTTGAGAATGTTGTTGCAATGAACATAGGTTTGCACATATGAGGGGGAACCCCCCCAAAACGGCCTTTTTTTTCAAAGCCATGTATTTAATTTTTTTATATAAAACAAACCTACCACCTTCAAAGTACTTTCCATTACACTTAATACATTTGTTGAATCTGTGATTCCATTCTTGGAAACATTTTTCAAACTCGTCTGGCAGGACAGTACTTCCCTCGTTTTTTCTTCATCTCTTCTATGTCGTCAAATCGCTGTCCCTTCATGTCCCTCTTCATTCACGGAAACAAAGGGAAGTCTCATGAGTCAGGTCAGGTGAGTCAGGTGCGTGGGACAAGAGAGGCATACTGCTTTTTGCCGACACCTGGTGCACTGAGATGGCTGTGTGAGCAGGTGTGTTGTGGTGGTGGCAAAACCAGTTCCCCCTTTGCCACAAATCAGGCCTTTTTTGTAGCACACTGTTGCAATCTTTCTAGACCTCTACAAAGAAAGCTCGATTAACAGTCTGATTTGGTGGAATGGACTCCAAATGCATGGCATTTTCATCCGCTCAGGAAGTTGGCAGACGTCCAGAACAAGGTTTGTCATCAATTGATACGTCACCTTTTTGGAAATGAGAAAACCACTTGCACGCTTGCGTTTTTCCCATAGCGCTGTCCTTGTAAGCTGTGCTCAACATGACTTCAGTTTCTGCGCCATTTTCCCCAAGCACGAAGCAAAATTTCCCGGCTGCAAGCTATTCTCTTAAATGGGCCATCAGAAAAAATGAGGTTCGGGCCAAACTGTTTTTACAAAAAAATTCACTGTGACCAGAGAGAACCTTCCCAGGTGACCCCACTGGGTGCACTAATTCAGAGCAATGTGCTGGATGCTTGCTTAGCAGGAAAGATGTGTACTATGAAATCTCTGCCCAGTGGAGCTTGTGTCTGCTTTGGGGGGGAGGGTCACCCCAAATATTGATGTTATGATTCTTATTAATGCTATAGATCTAATAATGCGATTGCAGGTTTCTCGTCTGATATCCTTATTCCCAGCATTTTAAGGGAGGGCCATCTCATTTTCCGCCGTTGTCCCATTTTGCAGTTCCACCAGCAGTTTAGAAGGACTGTAATCTCTCCAAATTCTCACCAGCATTTGTTGTTTTGGGTGTGTTTGAGTTTTGCTATTAATGCTAAGGAAATGACATTGAACTGTTACTTTTATAATATTTGGCTTTGTCTTCTTGAGCTGCCTTTTGAAATTTTCTGTCCAGCTCCCTGTCTTCACCCTTTCTTCCATTTCGCTGTTCTACAGCTAAGAGCAAGTTTCAGAGTCTCTTCTGAAATCCACTTTGATTTTCCCTTTCCCCCCGTCTTTTTAATGACCTTTTGCTTTCTTCATGAATGATGGTCTTGATGTCTACCCCCAGCTCATCGGGTCATTTGTCATTAGTGTTCAACGCGTCAAATCTTTTCCTCAGATGTCCTTGAATTTCAGGTGGAATAGACTCAAGGTCGTGTTTTCGCTCCTGTGGACTTGTTTTCTCTTCATTTAGCTTTATCCTGAACTTTCATATTCCTCATTTCTTCTTTCATATCCTGACCTTTCCTAGTGATGATTTTTCCAAAGGTGTCCCCTGGTCTTGTTTTAGCTGCTTATGCCGAGTTTCTCCGTCTCATCCTCCTCCATACGTAGTCAATTTGATTTCTGTGTGTCCCGTCTATGGAAGCCCGTGAGTGTGGTTCCCTTTCGTGTTGTTGATGCCAGTGAGTGCGTGTGTGCGTGTGTGTGTGTGTGTGTGTGTGTGTGTGTGTGTGTTTAACTCACTTTAAATTGTTTCAGTTTTTAATATTTTCTGCTTTCTTTTGATGGGTGGTGTTCTCTATTTAATCTAGTCATTGTTGG